TTCATGTCTTGAATCATTTCCTTCACTTGTTTGATTGCTTTTTCTTGGTTTTCTTTAAGCGGATTGTTGATATCTTCCAACTTTTTGTTTGTCTTTTCCTCCATTTCTTTAAGAGAATTTCTCATTTCCTTTTTAAGGGCCTCAATCACCCTCATAAAGTTATTTTAAGTTGTTTTCTTCTATTTCATCTGTGTTGGGATGTTCAGGTCTTGCTATTGTAGCACCATTACTTTCTAGTGGTGCCTTATTGCTCTTTATGTTGTTGAGTGTATTCTTACCTTGTTGTCTACACATCTCTTCCTCTAATCGGTATAGGTTGAGTTTGTGTTTCAGGGGTTCTCTCTTTCTCCAATTGGTATAGTTGGGGGCTGTGGCTCTGTTGAAGGCTCCTTCAGGCACAAGTAGAGCAGAGCTTCCAGTGAACGCTCCTCCTGGTAGAAGTGGGCCCAGTGCTCAGGTGCTAACTCTTTGAGGTGTAGGTAGGGCTAATGCTCCACTGGACACTCCTCCTGTTGAAGGTGTAGATGGGGCTGAGTTGATGTAGTAGCAGGGTATCTCCCGCCATGAAATGGCAGTGGATGCTGACTGGGACACAGGTACTCTTTCCCAGAGGAACTTTTTACAATAGTTTCTGGAAGTTACTGCTGGAAAGTGCTACTGTTGCTTTACCAGGTGATCACTCCTCACTCTTGGGGCTGAGACTTGGGCCTCCCTCTTTCACTACTCCCTGTTCTGAGGCTTGTAGCACCCTTGACACTGCTCTGGGTCTGAAGGCTGGACCTTCCTCTGATGCTGCTTCCAGGCTGGGATTCAGGTCTCTCACTGATGCTGCTCTGGGCCTGAAGCTCCAGCCTCCTTATGATGCTGCTTCCAGGCTCTGACACTGCTCCTGGGTCTGAGGCTCATGGATCCCTTGATGCTGCTCTGGACCTGAAGCTTGGGCCTTCCTCTGACACTGTTTCTGGGCTGGGATTCAGACCTCTCACTCTTGTTTTGTTATTTTATTTTTAAGACAGGGTTTCATGTAGCTGTCCTCACACTCATTGTATAGCTGAGGATGATCTTGAATGCCTAATTCTCTTGCATCTACCTCCCAATTGCTATGATTGCCAGCATATACCATCACATCCAGCTCAGTTTCTCTAAAACAGTATTTTAAATCTTTTGTGATCTTATATTGGGAAATGGATTCTTAGATCTCCTATCATAAAATAAAAATAAACAATTATTTTTGAGAAAAATTTCAACGTATTCCTATAAAGGACACTATTAAGGAAGTAAAAATATAGCTGAAATCATGAGGCTAAAGTTGGAGATAAGGTATTTGCATTGTTAATATATAAAGAAATTTTACAACTCCATAAGGACAGTCACATTTTTTCCAGTGGGCAAAGGATAGAACTTGCCATTTTTCCAGAGAAGATACTCATATGACCAGTAAACATATGAAAAGATGTTCAGCATAATTAATTATCTCAGATATACAAATATAAATGCAATAGTAAAGTGTTATGCATCGCCTTTACACCCAATAAGATGACTATACTTGAAAGACAAAAAATAACCAACTATAGACAAATAATTGGTACTCTCAATAGAGACTATGTATAACGTGGTGCAGAAACTTTGAAAATCACCTGAAGGTCGGTGAATGCATGCCTTGAATGTGCAAGGTCCTGGATTTGATTCCCAACCATGCAAAAAGAGGAAGAAGGAAGAAGAATAACCCAAAAGTGCCTCAGAACATTAATATAATTACCATATGACCCAGAAATTCCATCCTTATGTATACAGCTAAGAGAAATGAAAACATGTATACAAATAAGAACTCATTCACAAATGCTCAAAGCAGATTCATTCATAGAAGAAAAAAGCAAATACTCAAATGTCTTATCAACTGATTAATAAATGTGTGCTGTGGTATTTCCATATAATGGAATATTATTTGGCCAATACATGCTATAGAATGGATAAACCTTAAAACCATTATATGGGTTTAGGAATCTACCAATTAATAGAGTGCCTGCCTAGTATGCACAAAACCATGAATTCAATCCTCCATACTGTATAAACCTTGACATGCTCTCACAAGCCAATAATCCTAGCACCTACGAGATGGAGGCAGGACAATCATAAATTTAAGATCATTTTCAGCTATATAATGAGTTCAAGGCTAGCTTTAGTAATATAAGAACAATTTGTTAAATGAATTATTTATGTGAAAAATGTCAGTCCCAAGGAATCACATACTGTCTGATTTTTTTTTATGGTCAGTGTCTAGAACAAGCCAAGATATGGGGCATATTAGTGGTTCCCCGGGGCACTGGGATGAGTATCACTGATGGGAAATGAGGAGGTACAGGACACAGGATTTTTCTTAGATGGATAAATGTTTTCTAAGATGATAGCTGTGGTGGCAGAAAACTGTGACTGTTCTAAACCCATTGAATTATATGATTTTTGGTAGGTAAGGTGTCTAGTATATCTCTTTGGTATGGTGTTCACTTTAGGGAATCTGAAAATCACCTCAGAATGTGGACATGTGTGGTCTAGGATGTCTGTGGTTCAGTTAAAGAAGTGTATGACATGTTGGGGCCAGAGAAAGCTGGTTTAAATTATGACCCTCAGTCAACTAGAGCTAGTGGAGCACATCTATAATCCTAGCACTCGAGAGGCAGAGGCAGGGTGATTAAGAGTCCAAGAACAGCCTCACTATATAGTGAGACCCTGCTATGAAACAACAGCAACAAAACAAACCCTCAACAGCCATTAGAACAAATACCCAAGTTTTCTAGCATTTGTTTGTATTTCACAGACAAGTCTATGTGAATAGCTACAGAAATGTTATTTTCTTGAGGGCTAATGATTCTCTTGGCCAGTGTTGAGCATGAAAGTGGCTAATACAGAATTAAGTAAAACTCTAGTATTCTCTGAATCCACAATGGTACCATCCTCCAATTGCCCAACCAGACACATTCCTCATTTCTACTTCTAATCTGTTACTAGGAACTGTCAATTTTACCTGTAAACATGTCTTAAATTCACTTCTTCCATCATATCATTTGGGGGAGGGCCTAGGCCCTTCTTGCTGTATCTGGGCTGCAGTGGTATCCATCCTTAGGGAATGGGCTCCCAAAGTCCATTTGTGCTCTAGGGTTGAAGACTGGCTCCACTGTTAGAGGTCGCATAGACTGTCTTGGCCTCCTAGCTGGCATCTACATTCAGAGTGCTTGGTGTGGTCCAATGCTGTTTCCCCCAGCTTTATGACTCGGGTCTCCATGCTATCACTAGGTCAGGTCAACTTTTTCCATTCATGTAGTTAAGATAACCACATCCTTACTATGCACCAGATACTGTGCCAGGCTGTGAATACACAAGGTGAATTCTATTTTACATTAAAGATAATCCACCCCTACTGAGTGAAGGAGAAAGGCAATGATGTATTAGGAATGCTTTACAGTGCTATGAACAAAATTTCAGGGAACAAAAGTTCCTGCAAGAAGTCATGAACAGTCAAGGTAAACTTCACTGAGTAGGTCACATTTGGTTGATTGGATCATTTCTTCATTCATTAATACATTCAGAAAACTTGTTTTGTGCCTCTATTGTGTGCCACACATAGTGTTGTACTCAAGTAAACAAAAATGAAACCAAAAAATCTGTACGACAAAGAACTCTACAGGCTGGAAGGAATAAATATGTAACATTTTTCAAAATGATGTGATGATACAAATTATATTAGAGAAATGTAAAGCTTGCTAAAGAAATTGAGAGGAAGAAACGACTGTAAATTTGAAAAGTAGATGTTTAGGAGGTTAATATTTCAGGCAAACTAGACTACCTCTGACTAAACTCTGCTAGTGTTCTTTTCTATCGCAGTGCCAGGACTGCGCCTGATGTCACTCCAACAAAGTCTTAGTCATACCTTGGGAAGTCATGTCCCCTTGTGATATTAGGGGTGACATTCAGGGCCTCACATGCTCAACAAGCATTCTGTCATTGAGCTATAATCTCAGGTCCATGAAGTCATCTTTATATGCAGATGCCTTGTATCCCCAAAGCTGCCAGGTATCCTTTATACATAGTATTTTTTATAGACCCAATTGAAGGACAGCTGGGTATGGTGGTATGGGTCTGTAGTTCCAGGATTTGGCAGGCTGAGATGGGACAATCACTGCAACCCAGGAGTTTAAGAGCAGACTAGGCAACATAGTAAGGTTCCCATCTTAAAACAATAATGAATAAAAGGCAAGACAACATCCTTGCTACTCAAGAAGCATCTTCCCAAGTCTTGTACCATATCTTTGCCCTCCAGAGCCTGAGACATATTGGGTATGAAGGGCTTCAACAAGAAGGCTCTCTTTGTTCTCCATCTCATATACAAGGACAGGGAAAGTTGCTCTGTACACTAATCCCTTTCACTATTACAAAATACAATGAAAAGTCAAATATAATTTTGTGATTAGTGGTGTTAAAAAACCACTGATAAGGCTGTGGGATCATCTCACAAATGTGCCCTTTGTTCGTAGCTTAGTAGATTATCTCAACACTAAAGATTAATATTATTTCTTTTGCAATAATTGAAATTCATTCTGGTAAAGGAAATTATGAGACTCAATAAAACAGATTCTTGACCATCTTGGGAAAGGAAATGTAGGGACTGAGGAGATAATTGGCTGAGGAAGCAGCAACAGAAGATCCAAGCAGGATACAGATTTTTCTCCTGCTTCAGAGAGACCAGGAATTGGTCTCTTTGATATTTTTTCTTTTAGTAGAAGAGGGCCTCATTGCTTTTTTCCATTTTTGTGTCGCTTCATAGGGCTTTGCTGTAGAACATTGTGCAGCTGGCATACCTTCGGGGTACTCTCCTGTTCTCTAAGAGCAGTCTTTCCTTAGTGCTAGCTGAGCACTTATTGTTTAATAATAGTGGGATATGATACAGTGTTACAATAGGTAGTGACAATGACAACTTTAAAACACCCACTCTTCTTGGATTTCAGGAGGGCTACCCAGAAAAGGAAATTCTATGGCTAATGATCAAGTCTTGGAATATTGGGATATTGATGTATAGCAGGAACAAGTATGTATCTGCAGAAAGATGGGCTGGCCTGGCATTGGAATTCCTTGGCCACCTTGGCTCCCTCAAAATAAACTATGAAGCTAAGGTAGGAGGGAGAATCCTGCAGTGGGTGGCATGACTTAGAGGGCACAGAAGTCTTGACAGGCTCCCATAAGGACATATCCTACCATGTTTGGCTGGGTAAAAATCTTCACCTTTGAAGATCTCGGTGGGTTCTATATCATTTCATGAGGTAGGAGACTATGTAGTAATTTCTTAGCGTGAAAACCAAGAAGGATGGAGAACAAGAAACACAGGGATAGTGAATGGAAACTAATTATGAGGACTGCCAGGGGTGAGCTCTGGAAAGATGTATCACTGTCAGTGCCAATGTGTGTGGGTAAGGGCTGGCCTCTGTGCAAACAATGGCTGGTCATACAGGCATTTCTCCAGGGATTGTTAGTCTCAGTTTCAAGCCTCTAGACCATCAGCTAACCAGGGTAGGTTTGTTAAGGAAAAAGCCTTGTTACCAAATAAGAACAAATAATCTTTTTCTGTTTTGAGTACCTCCACCCTAACCAGAGCTGCCTGTTCCTAATTAAACAGAGCTACTGCCATTGGATTCCTCTTTCTCAAGAGAGGACTGTGTGTCCTCCCCAGATAGCAACTCAGATCTCAGCTCTCAAGGGCCAGCCTTCACTGTGGGTCTGGGAAGCTTTCCCACATTATTATTTTTTCTTCTTAAAGTCTTTTTGCTGTTTTCTTTCTCAGGTGAATCTTCTAAATGCCAACCTCATGGAAGCATTAAATAAAGGGTTGGAGTTAAGGTCTGCAGAGATGGCTGAGCGGTTAAAAGCACTGGCTGGCCCTCCAGAGGACCCAGGTTCTGTTCCCAGCACCCAAACAGCAGCTCACAACCGCCTGTAACTCCAAGATCTGACACCCTCACACAGACATACATGTAGGCAAAACACCAGTGCACATAAAATAAGAATAAATAATTTTTTAAAATTCCAGATGGTAACAGATCCCTACAGGATCTCTTCTGGTTTCCAAGGTTACCAGGCATGCACAGGGTGCATGCAAATAAAATAAAAATAGTTTTAAAGAGGGAGTTCACTTTTCAGTGAAGAGTGATACTGATTGGAAGCCGGTGTATAAGCAAGCTGACCAGAGCAACTTGAAGGTGTATCTTCATGAGCTACTGAATATTTCAGGGTTTGACATATGTTCCCTGGAACTTTTGTTTTCTTAAGCCCTATTTTTATGTTAAATGAAATTTTCTCAAATAAAAGCATTTTGACTTTCACCTCACTGATCAGCTAATTTCTAGGAGAAATGTGAATGTTCCTAGCTGCTAAGGATTATATTGAAACATTGTCCGTGCTAGATCAAAATGCCCCATGTGAATAAAATGGAGTGTCCACCCTTGCCCAAAGTGCCCAAACTGAAAGACAATACAAAACCATAAATATCATTGGAAGGGCCTTAGTGATCACTGGCTCTTGGATTTATCAGATTCATGAAATCTTTCTCCAAAGTTCTTGAGAATTTGTTACCCAGTCTCTGTTAAAACCTATCTTGTGCTACATAGTCAGCCTGTCAGAGAGGGGGGAATGAGAATGAATCCTATCCTGTGACTGTTCAAAGACACCCTTCTTTTTGACTTGTCTAATTGCTAAAAAGCTTTTCCTTATATTGAACAAAAAGTCTGTTTCCCAGTAATAAGTCTGCTATTGCCATTCCAGGTGCCCTTTAGAAAATCAAAGACAGAAATTGTCCCCATTCATCACCACCACCCCGTCATCCAGCATTTTCTTCTTCAGGTTCAGCATCCTCAGGCCTCGCAGTCGTTCCCTCCTGTGATCTGGTCACCTTACCTTCAGAGAGCCAAATCCCACATTCCGGAGAGGCGCATGAAGAGTTCAGTATGCACGCTCTGCCTGCACTAATGTAGTGTGGTGTAGTGGCACACTGCTGTCCCTCTCTCAGTTGCTTTCTGTTGATAACCTTTTTCAGCCTTTGTTGTCAAATACTTGTATGTAATGAAAGTCGTGGGTAAGCACAAATACCTGCTGTGCACCCTTCATCCACCTCCTGTGGGTTCACATTGGCCACATTGCCTTACTTCTGCTTGCTTGCTTTCTCCATCCCTTGAGATTGTTTCACAGACTCTCTGGGAGCAGGCAGTCTTCTGCATCAAATTTACAGTGACTCTTCGGCTTCTTGTGATCCATGAACTAAAGCATGTTTTTCATTGACCACTTAGCATTATTGCAAGAACATTGCAGATGCAATCAACACTTCCCTCGGAGATGGAAGATTGGAGGCACACTCTTCAATTCTGGATTTCTGTTGGGCAAGTGACATGAGGACACACTGCCGTGGACATAAGAGGAGCTTCTTTGTTACTCCCTAATTATGCTTTTTAGAACATGCTTGGTTGAGTTTTGGTCACTCACTTTGCTCCTAGTTTTAAAAACTGGAAGAGATTTCGTGATGATAATATTTAAAGTGAATTTTGTAAGATGTGATGTGTTTGGCACTAGACAGATTTCACGGTTTCTTATACATGTTTCAGGGATTGATATTTGAGTTTAGTCTTAACTTCTTATTCATGATATCTTTGGCAGCATGATTTTTCTCAGATTCTTAATAGGATTCTGAACTCTTCACTTTGAACTCTTTGCATGCTAATACTTTAAAAAAGAAAATACTCTTTTAAAAATTCCTAGTGTAAACAATAAGGACCATGTCCAGAGATGCTGTGTGTATGGGACTACTGTCTAGTCTATTTTCCATTGTGACAAAATACCTAAGAAAGTCAACTTAGAGGGAAGAAGATTAATTTTGGCTCACACTTCTAGAGGTTTCAGTGTGTGGTCACTTGGCTCTGTTGTTTCTGGACATGTGGCTAGAACAGCATAGTAAGGAGGGCATGGTAGGACAAGAGAAGGAGCCAGAAACAAAATATACCCTCACCGCTACAAGAGTCCATATTGTAAAAACTCTTCTACACACATAACCATAGTACAAACCTCAGTCAGAAAACTAGCAATGACACAATTCTGCTATCTATTCCACACGTCCATTGTCATGCCACTGCTTGTCCTAGTAGTCCTTCATAAATTCAAGATCACAGGCTGCATTTAGTTGCCATGTTTGTTTTTTCCTGCAAATGACCTTAACTTTTTTTTTTCAGAGAACAGACTAATGGCTTTGTAGCCTGAACCTCAGTTTCGCTGGGTCAGATGTTTCCTGCTGATTAGATTCTGTTTACTCACTTTGGACAGGCAGAGCCACAACAGCAGTATGTTCCTGGTGCAGCCCACCAGCAAACACTCAGTGTCAATTTGCCCTATTACTGACTAAAGTTAAGATGGTCTCTGCCAGGTTTCTCCATCGAGAGGTTAATTGATAAACATTTTGTACTTAGTAATTAGTAAGTAATTATGAAGTCCTTGGTGGAAGATAATTTGAGACTGAGTAAATATCCTGTTCCTCATTAATGTTCACAAACAAGTTTTAGCATCAATTGATGATTCTTACCTGAATCCATTTTTATGTGATGGCTTGCTAATTGTTGGCTTTTCTGTCTTACTGTTCCCTTTACTACTTGGTCTTGGTAAGATAAAGCCTTTTCTGCATCTCCACTTCTTATTCCCTGCAGGGCCTTGTCCATGCAAATGCTCTGCCACCGAGGTCATGTCCACGAATTTATTCATTCATACTTTTAAAGTACATTTTAGTATACATTAATAGAGTCTTACTTATCCAGTGGATAATAATTCACCATTATCATTATTTGTTTTGTTCTCTTTTGGTATGCCCCCATTTTCTGTAAGCACTTCTTTACCTGTGGCACAGTGAGATGCTCCAGGCTCACCTCATACATTTCCTGCTCCAATCTTGGAATCGGTGATTTCTTCCAAGAGACCTGGTTCCTTTGGCTAGAGAATGGTAATAGGTCCCAAGATCTAGTTCCCAGTAACATTCATTGTTAACTGGTGTGACACTGTTTCCAGGTCTTCAGAGTGAGCTGAGCTAGTAAATAAACATGTGTGTATGTGTATACACATGCTTACACCTATACATAATCTCCAACATACACACACACACACACACACACACACACACACACATACTGATGCCTCCATTTTCAACCCAGTACTCAGATTTATTCTAGCCTTCCCTGCTTTCCATATGTGTAGCCCTTCCACCATTGTGATTTGCTCCTTTTCTCTGTATGACCCCAATATCTCAGCCATTCAGCACTTCTCCTAGGCTGTAACCCCAGCAGCTGCTCCTCTAACTCCATCCCACTCATCTACAAGGCTCTTATTCCAGATCCTCCTGCCTCCACCTTCCAAGTGCTGAGATAACAAGTGTGTACTGCTACAGCCAATTTATGGGATGCTGGGGATTGAACCCAGGCTTTCCTGCATACTTGGAATCATTCTGCCAGCTGAACTCTACCCCAGCCCCATCCTCCAGTGTCTATTAAGCTCCAGGAAGACACTGCAGTATACTTTCCTTACAACTGTATACTCCAATGACTAGCACAGCACCTGGTACATTCTATAAATACTGCTGAAAGAATTAATGCAATTTCTATGCTCACTTTTCCATATATGCTGACATTAATAAATTATCTGCTTGTATGTCCAGCCTTAAAAAGAAATCTAACACGTGTGTTCTCACTTAATGGTCAAAATAACTCAGTCAGATAGGCAATTACACAGCTTTCTCGCTCCCTCCCTCTTTCTTTCTCTTGTCATTCTGTGGAATGTAAAACTTGGAGAGTTTAAGGAACTTAAAGTGTTTTAGTTACTTTCCTGTTGTTGTGATAAGGTTCCCTGACAAAAGCAACTTAAGGGAGAAAGGCTTTATTTCAGCTTATATGTCCAGATGGATACAGTCCATTGTGGCAAAGAAGACATGGTAGCAGGCAGGGAAGGTGGGGTGGCAGGAGCAAGAGTTTGAATAGTCACATTGGATCCACTCTTAGGGAGCAGAGAATGGAGAAGGGCACCAGACTATAAAGCACTCACTTCCTCCAGGAAGGTTCTACCTTCCAAAGTTCCAAAACCTTTCCAAATAGCATCACCACGTGGGGACCAAGAGTTCAGATACATGAGTCTACAGAGGACATGTCACATCCAAACCACAACACAACAGCTGGTCAGTGGCACAAATGTGACTTAAAGTCATACTTAAGCTGACTTTAGTGGGATAATTGTTATCCTAACTACTTGGGAGGCTGAGGTAAGAGGATCACATGTTCAAGGCCAGCCTAGACAATTTGATAAGAACCTGTCTCAAAATAAGAAGCTAAAAGGGTTAGGAGATACCTCCATGGTACAGCCCTTGCCTGGCATGCACAAGGCCCCAGGTTATAGGACCCATGCTCCCTGCCTTCACATGACCTTTGTTTCCTCTGAACTCATTCAAATCAGCCTTTCCTAATTTCAAGACAAAGCACTTCAGTACTGTCTAGCCTTAAACTCTCACAAACTCTAAGATGTTCGCTCTCCAAGCTTCTACTTCACCAGTCACTATGGGTCAATTCATTATGGGTATGTATTAAGTTATGAATAACAAAGTATCCCTCTTGTTGATTTTGCTGTTCTTTCTGATGTGTAATACTATCAGGAAGAAAAGTAAAGAATCTTCCAATGTTCTGCAAACGAATCTTACAGTGTTTCTTTTTGAGACAGGCTATCTTCCAACTCATAATGTAGCTGAAGATGACCTTGAGTTTCCTGTCTCCATCACCCAAGTGCTAGGATTATGATGTGTGTCACTATGTTCAACACAGCAAATCTGGTCCATGTCTCTCAATTCTACTGTATTTAGCCATGTTAAAAAAAACCTTTCTGTTCTGCATCCATCAATAATACCCAATGTCCATTTATGACTTTCTCTTGGGTAGTAGAATGTAATGTATTTCACTATTTAAGTTCTCTTCCTTTCTTTTTGTAACTGTCACATCGCTGTGGAGAACTCCGCCTTAACCTTTGTGGATTTTTATTTATATAGCACAATGTCACCTCCTGTTCTAAAGGGTATCTGCTTAATATTTCTTCTAATGCCAGATTCCTCTTATAAGTTGCATCCCTCCAAAGCTTAAAATGGCACCTAATTTTGTATGCTTTATCTTGAGCTAACAATTCCACTTTACTTTCTATTATTAGGTAGAACCGCATGAAGATGCCATTTTGTAGGTCAGAGATAGTTGAATATTGGTGATTCCATGTGATTCAACTTAATGTGTGTGCTGTGTATTGGAACAGAAACTTCTGAGTTGTA